TTAGATGCACATCGTGAGCATAAGTATTGGATAAGTATGGAACAACTGCCATACCTCAAGACATCTAGTATTTGGCCTTGAACACCTGGAGCTTGGCCAGGATACCTAGAGCTCAGCTCCAGGGCACTTGGAGCCCTGTCAGGTCACCTAGAGATCAGTTAGGCCACCTGGTGCTCGAGTGGAGCATGCTTGGAAGGCCTGTGTGCCATGTTATGAATGCATGGCATGGGCCCAAGACCCACTAATTGATGGAGTGCCTTACGTATCGACTATTCTACTGCATGGTCTGCCAAATCGTCGCTCTCTGTACACATGGTGGAGTTTGTGTTTGCCTTTGACAGCAATTTGTCTTCGTGGAAACCATTTCCTCGGACCTTGGCTCAATAGTCATCAGAGGTTGCTCTTTGATGAAGACTTCATAGGGACTCAGGGCAGTTCCTTCTTCAGGTCACACATCTCTCAACGAGACAAGCTCACAACCCCTTAGGTGATTCTCCTCAACCCTAGGTCATGCTAGGCTTCCAATGTCTAGCTTGCAAGTCGGTTGACAGCTCTCCAATGAATGCCATGTGTCCAGTTACCCAAAGGTTGGTTTTACTCCCATCACCTACGGCCAAGGTTCAAAATACCGATACACCTGATATGCCGATATGGGCATATTGGGCGAATTGATACTATTTTTTTTTTATTTTTTTTCTGAAACCGGTTCAGGGGGGCAGTTTAGGTCTCCTCCATCCCCTGAACCTGTCAGACCCCCGATACACCCACTATAGGGGCCTACCAGTGGAGTCCCGGAACAATACGTATCGACCAATACATGCCGATACTTTGAACCTTACCTATGACAATAACAATATAAAAATTCATTTTTATAATATATAAATTAATAAAAATGACAATAAAACTTTAGGGGTATTCGACAACATGGCTCCCCTGGGCCGATTGATATCAACTCAACCTCACTTCATCAACGGATCAACTTACCCCCAAAAAAATAGATAATTATCGCCTGAAGTTAGCCATCCACTTATTTCATTCTTTTGGACAATCAACACCTATAACATAAAAAGTTGAGGTCCGACCAGGCATGCATCCTTAAGCTTATGGAAGAATGTAATAGTGAAGATGGTATACCGCAATTTTATGGTAACTTGGTAAAATGCACTTCAGGTTTGTGTAGATGAGCATCAAGACTTAGCCCAATGAACCAAATCTAGACAATGGTTAATGCCTAAATTTGGTCACCTAAATCCGCTCAACACGGCTTAGGACAAACTAGACTTGTTCATGGGTCGGGCTCGGGCGGGCTTTTACTCTTCATTAATGGAAATTTGTTAGGCCTGACCCGGCCCTGATAAAAAGCCCGAAGCCCAAGCTGAGTTCGCCACCGGTGGTTGTGTTTGCCGGAGTTGAGTGAGCCTGGCCCTGATAATTTCGTAACACAATAAAATGGTAAAGAGGACTCACCACCGGTGATTGTGTTCATCGGAGCTGAGTTCACGGTGACTGTGAGCTGCGACCTGCGATTTTAGCAGTGATCAGTTTGCGTCTGAGAGAGAGAGAGAGAGAACTCACTATCGTCGCCGGTGCCTATATTTGCCACCTCGCCATCGCTGGTGTCTGAGATTTGAAAGAGAAATGAGATTTGAGAAGAGGAACGAGAGAGAGAGAGAGAGAGTGAGAGAGAGAGAGAGAGAGAGTGAGAGAAAGAGAGAGAAGGAGAGGACTCACTATCGGAGTTGTTGCACCGGTGAATGTTCGTCGCCTCGCCGGTTGTGTGGCTGCCTGAGGGTGTGAGGATTGAGGACTGAGAATTGTGGAGGATGTGGAGAAGAGAGGTTCGGCTGGAAAAAGAGGTGAAAGAAAGAGGGGTATTTGACTAGGGTTTTTAACTTTAATTATAGGTCGGGCCAGGCCGGGCTCGGGCCGGGCTATTTTGGCAAATCCCAAGCCCGGCTCGAATTTATTGCGGGTCGGGCTTTTAGGCCCGAGGTTAAGCCCGCGGGCCCATTTGCGTGTCAAGCCCGTCCGGGGGCCGGGCCGGCCCATGAACAGGTCTAGGACAAACTCAGGTGGGACTGATCGACTTTGGGTGAATTGTTTAAGTTTGGAAGCCTTTTTTCATGTTTTTCACTTTTTATTACAATAAAATTGAATATCACTCCAATTATAAAAATAGGGTCCATTTGGTTCATAGTCAGAATCACAATTGAAATATATTGGAATTAGAATTGGAATGGTCTATTTTCATAGTCTGTTTGATTTAGATAAGAATCAGAATGAGAATTAAAATCAACTGGAATTAATTTCATTCCTAAGGGAGGGGGAGGGAATGCACATTCCCTCAAATGGAAGAATGCCAATCCACCAGGAATGGGAATGAGCTTTCAGTTCTGCCCAACCAAACAATAGAAATCGGAATAGCTTATTCCAATTCCAATTTCGATTCCAAACCTTATTACCATTAACCAAACGGGGCCACAAATTTAAATTATCTACTAGAATTTAAGTAGACAGACTGCCAGGCCTGTATGCATCCCTGCCACCACCGACCCTGCTAAGTAGGCCTAATAAATATCACTCTCCCCCCATTGAGGGGCCAAAGCCGCGCGTCACATACATCAAACAAAAATCCACGTGGATGGCTGTGCTAAATGTGGCGGGATCTTCTAAAAGCAAAAACTCTTCACACACTCTGAAAATGCAGATATCACCCCTGTGAAATTAACATGGGAATGTGAGGTTGAATATCAGGTGATCAGAGATTTTGTTTGCATGAGATTCAGGTTCATGCTAAAACAAGCACGTCACAGATAGTCAGATAAGATGTCCCTCCAATTAGTTACCCTTGATTGATAGATAGCTCGTGGGATCAGCATGGCACCTTCTTCATCTCCATCTCTTGTTTGTGTTAAATTTATACACCCTCAACTCCTCAAGGGTGTCAATTGGCTCAGTTGATATTGGTAAGGTTTTTGGCTGACTGTAGCAAGAACTTGGGATCAAATCCCATTATCGCCAGGGATTTAATATTTACTTATGATCAATTTAAAATATTATTTGAGGTTATTACATGTAATCCACAAGAAACATATGCAAAATATAGGAGCTATCTTTGTTACAAATCACAATACTTGGGGTGTTTCTCCAATTAATATGGTTTTTTTTTCTCGTTTCTAAAAAGTATATATATATCACATTAGCAAAAAGACTAACATGTTTTTAAACAAGCATTTTTCTCAAAACAAAATGAAAACATTTTCAGTTTGACTCAGGAAAAAAAATCCTTGTTTCCAAAATGAAATTAAAATAAAAATGCTTTCAAAAATAGAACGTTATTTTCAGTTCTTTAAGACTGATATTGACAACAATCAAAATCTCCCCTACACCCTTAACTGCTGGTTTAAAGCATTTATGTATCATACCAACCTACATTTAAATAGGTTTGGATCCAAAGTATAAGTCAAAAATATAAATAGAAAGAATTAATCACATTAATAGATCAAATGGGGTTTTATGAAACATAATATTAGACCACCAGAGGAAAATCACAAATTCAAGAACATTTTTTCCACTTTCAAGCATGGTTTCTTTTGTTCTAGTTCTTCGTGTTCACAATTAGCCGATAAGGATTAACCAACTTTTGGGATACTGTACTTACGTCACATTGAAAATTTTGCCTTCAATATAAATTGTTGATGCATATAGAGTAAGGTTTTTAAAATTGAATTAGACAACGAACTGTTCGGGGGTCCAGTTCCTGGGTCAAACGGTCTGACCGTTTGAATCAAATAGGTGGCCTGTTCTGACAAAAGAAATTAAAAAAAAGAATAAAAAACAGCCAAAAACTGTTGGATGATTCAAACAGTTTGAACGATTTGAATGGTTTGATCGACTGAGTCAACAGTTTGCTGACCAAATCAACGATTTTTTGCTAAAAAGACAATTTTAAGGTAAAACAGATGACCAGTTCTCAACTTTTCCAATCTGACCGTCCAATCCGGTCTAATTTTGAAAATCTTGATATAAAAACATGCATACAAACATGTATATATTACATCAGGGTGGAGAAGTGAGGAGCCAACCATTAAAGTGAGGAGTGGGGGAAGGTGGGAAATTTACATGGATTCCTGGACCATATGGGGGCCATAGCTCCCCTGGTCTACCCCTGTCTCCGCCCCTGGTTTACATGGTATTTATATGTGCAAATAAGAAAATATATGCCTGGTTTGAGTTAAATTCAGGTTTGTCAAGGCCTCAATCTTAACCCAACCCAAAGTTATATTGGGGTAACATTTTCGAATCCTAATCCCAATGTAATCCTACTTTGGCAGGGCTTTCATACAGAAGCGTCTGGTTTTGCAAGATGGGCCCTACGTGGAAACCCAAAAGGTTATATTTGGTTAAAAACCAAATACATCTTCATTTAACCAAATAAATCAATTCTTATTTCTTAGTAAAGCTGATTTTAGTAGCCCTCCCAAATGAGCTCTTAGCCTTAAACTTCCAAATGGGCCACCACCCCCACCCGGAGGCAAAAGAAACCCATCTCTTTGTACTTTTTTTTTTTCTTGGGCCTTCATCTGTGCAGTGACCCTCATGGAATTTGAACCGTCATTAGTCCAGATGGTCACACTGTTTGGTCCGAGAACCGTCTAAGCACCATTTTACTCCAAATCTAGTCCTTGGCCAAAAATCATTGAATCGATTAACAATTTATTAATTCAGGTGGTCGAACCATCAATTCATTCAACAGTTTTATCCGTTTTTATTTTAATTATATTTTTTATTTTTTTATCAGAATAGACTGTGCATTCAAACCGGAGGATCAAACCATCAACCCAAAAACCGATGACCAGAACAGTTACACTTCTGAATCGTTTTTTAAAACATTGGTGACCACGTCAAATCAACTAATGAATTCATAATTTCAGGCTAAGGTTCCAAGGCAGAGTTTATCCAATTAAGGATTCCAATTTCGAAGGCACCTAGCTATGCCCTTAAAAAATCAATACAAAGTTGTCCAGAAGGGAGCCTTTGATTTCATATAAAGTTTTCACCATGCATGTTCATATAAAAATTCAACAATCCATATGAAATTCATTCAAAGTCCCACATTGAGCGTGGCCTAACCAACAACTCACCATGAATTCAAATTCACAGCTTGAAATGTGACAGCGCAGTGCCCCCACCGAGACCTTTAGAATTGTAGTATTCCACATAGTCTTGCACGGTTGTTTCTCTATAGACTGGAGGGTTCTCCTCTGATAACAACTCCTTGATTGGCCCATAAATCCTTGTTGATGGCTGAAGATGTGTCCCAAAGAAGCATGCCACAGATATCCTTGGTCCTACACGCTTTGCCACTACTCTATGCTCCACACTCTTAAACCTATCATTCGATATAAGCTGCACCAAATAGAAAATACAGAAAGAAAAAAGAAAGGATCAGTTTTACCACGAATCAAGTTGAATTAATTCTGGGTAGTTTTCATGGAAACGACTGGCTAATAGATTGATACTTGTAGAAGGTCTCCCATGTTTATTACTAGAGCTCCAGGAATAGGAAGAACATCAACCCATTGATCTTCATGACGAACTTGGAGACCACCAATGCTGTCTTGCAGAAGAAGAGTGAAGAAATCACTGTCTGAATGCTTGCTAATCCCCAATGTCAAGTCCGGTTCTGGGCAGGCCGGATAGTAGTGATTTATTAACACATGCCCCTCCGCACACCCAATATCTCTCAAGTAATTCTTGTTCAGTCCCAACGCCTCCGACAGAAGCTCAAACAAAGTAAGCCCCAAGCTTGCTACTTGCTTGGAGTACTCCATCACTGCATCTCTACAAGCAAAATAAATTGATAATATCTTCATGACAAAATTGTTGGAATCAGGGTTTGCAGTTGAGTTGTGTTGATTTGAAATATATATTTGTTAGGGTTTGTTAATGGATAGCCACCCTCTAATTAGGGGATGGTATATATACTTTGACCCCCGAGCTTTGTTTTGCAACATGAAGCCCCTAGATTTCTGGATTCCAGCACTTTGCCCCCTCATCAGTAGATTGGGTTGACAGTGAAAGTAAAATTATTATGAGATTTTATGAACCAGCAGCAATAAAAACCAAAATGGTGAAAATATTTATTCTAAATAGAACTGCCAATAGATTGGGATTATTAGTCCATATGATAAACCCAGAACCATTAATTTAATTATTGATCAAGACGATCGAGTCCTGATCCAATTAGACTCGGTTATGCTTGAGATGTATTAATATTACCTATTATAAAACAGTATTTTTTTATGACGTAATCTCAATAAAAATGACAGTAAAATAACAACTGTTTGTAAGCTGATAAAACAACTTTTTTTAACCAAAATTATCTGCTATCTATCAAACTTACCCTTTTAAACACAAAATATAACAAAAAATTGCAAAAAGAAAAAGAGAAAAAAAAAACCTAGGAGGACTTTCTATATTATTATTAACTACATAATTGGTTGATGTCTGAATTGCTTCCAAACCAATTATGAATCAGAACTGATATAATCGGTTAAGTCAATTCCCGACCTATTGACAGCCTTATTCTAGCAAAAATTGATCTCAAGGCGTTAGAAAAATTAAACAGCATCGGGGTTGCCAGCTTGGGCCTCTTACCTGACGGTGGTGTTGTTGTTCAGGGGGTCATTGTTGAAAAACAAAGTTCAGGGGGCTAACTGTCATTATGCTTAAGTACCCTGTTTGAGAGAGAGACGCAAAGACGCAATACTGGAATACTGGATACCTGCAAACCAGTGGCAATTCTTCCAAGCTTGGAGGATGAGGAGCCATGACACAAAGCAAGGTATCTCTCCAATTAGCTGCTCTTGACCGATACAGATCGAAATTACTGTTAAATCTTACCTTTCGCGTGGGATCTCGTATATAAAACTCTTTCTTCACCTCAATATCCTGCTCGTGAAATCTGCGTATCCCTTCAATCATCTCATGCAGAACACTGAGAGGGATCCCGTGATTCACTACCTGAAAGAAGCCCCACGTCTCCGAAGCATGCCGCACTTTTTCGACAATCTCCTCACGAAGTAAAGGGTTTTCACGGACGCCTTTCATATCTATGACCGGAACCCCAACGTCAACGTGGGTCCGATCGGAAACTACCTTCTCCTTCAAATCATCCGGCGGACTTAGAAAGATACGGGGGATCTTGGCAACTCCAGTGTCAACCAGTCCTTTGACGCCAGATTTCGTATCGTCAAACTCTCTCAATTCTTTTGTTCGATCATAACTTGGAACAGCTCCCGCTGAGACGTGTATTGTATCCAAGATGCTCATGTTTGTCGCAGAGTTCAGAGATTTCTTGGGTAAAAGACGACAACGGTAAAAAACAGAAGGAAAGAAAGGCAGGATTGATATGTAAGGGCCGAAAATAGACGGATAGGGTTTCATCGAGAAAAGACCAGCGTCGCATCACAGCTGAACGATCAGTTACCGGTAGGTAGGGGTGTCAATTGGACTGGATTTGGTCCAGTCCGGTCCAGTCAATGTGAATCTATTACAAATGGACCTAGTCCAATCCAGTCCAATGAATATTTAGGACGATTTTGGACTGGTCCAAAGACTATTCAATCTATTTAAATTCCTGTTAATTTAGATTGGTTTCAACTCAAATATGGTCCATTCACAACTATGTTCTTATCTTTTATCAATGGACCAGATATTGGCTCAATCCAATATAAATTCATTATGGATGAACCAGGTCCAATCCAATATATTATATTGGTCCGTCCAGTCTGTCCAAATTCAATATGTCTTGTTGGTCCGTGCAACCCGTCCAAATGGATTTTGATTTGGACAGAGTCCAACCCAAAACCGGTCTATTGACACCTACCAATAGGGGTGCTCATGGTTCGGTTAATCAAACTGTGGGTTTTTTTTAACTGAACCGACTTGATCAGTTTTTTAAAAAATCTAAACCAAAATCGAACTGATGTAACCGGTTAACCGTGTTTTGGTTTTTCAGGGTTTTCTTTTTTTGCACTCAAAATTAAGAAAAAAAGGGAAAAATTACCTGAACAAACATGGCAAAGGGGTGAGCCATCGAAGGCAAAGTGATGCCCGATGATTTACCAACGTTGGACTAGTTGGTGGTTGTTGTCACCCGAAGTAAAAGCTTGAGAGGTGGCAGAGCTGCGGAGATGAGAGATGAGAGAGACAGCAACAAAGCCTGGGAGGTGGCGATCTAAGTGGAGTTGAGGCGACGACCGACATCTTGGTTGGTTGTTGTAGGGGTGAGCAAAAAAAAACCGGAGTTGAGGCAGTGACCGACGTCTTGATGGTTGGCACAGTGGAGATGGAGATTGGGGAAGATTAAGAGAGTCAAGAGACAAGAATTACAAGAGAGACTGGGAGAGTGAGAAAGCCAAGGGTTAGCTTAGCCTACTACCTATTACATTTATAGTTGGTAGTTTAGGTTTCCAAGAAGGGGACACTTGGAAAGGGAGAAAACTAAAAGGGCGCCAGGTGGACAAAGTGAGTTAAGTGGTAGACGCGTGCGTGTTTGTTATTCAATTTTAAAAAATAACAAATTCTGAAATAGTGAAATTCATACATGGAGAGATAAGGTTGTACTTTTTCTTTTGGGACTTGTATTTGTATGGAAATTGAAAAGGCGCCAGGCAATAGGCTACTTGGCGTGCATCAGGAGCTTGGCGAATAGAGTGATGGACGCCTTTTCAGAGTGACAAATGTGCATAGGTAAGGTTATTCGATTTTAAAAAATATAAAAATATAATATATAATATATAGGGAAAAGTACGAGCAGGCCCATTGCAGAAATCTGAACATAAGGCCAGCCCATACAAAATTTACAATGACTCCCAAATTCAACTTTTGAAATTATAAGACTAATTCCCATGCCATGTAAGCGACACAGTTTTACCTATGCTTTTCCTGTGAGGTGGCAATCGAACTCGGATTACATGTCACAATAACATTTATTTAAAATTGTATTTTGAAATTTACCCTTAAATTGCAAAGACTAAAATGACCCTGTTAGGGCCCACGGTCATTGTTCTCTCCCGCCCTCCCTATTCTCTCTCTTTCGTTCTCTCACACTCTCAACTCTCTTCTCTTCGACTGCAACTTTTCCCTCGACGACTGAACTCCAGTTGCTCTTCCTCCTCTCTCACTATCTTTCGTTGTTCTCACAGTCTCAGCTCTCTTCTCTTCGGCTGCTTCCTTGCAACTGCAAGTTCTCCTCCCCAGCGAAGCCCCTCGTTCTCACTCCCATTTTCTCCTCCCTCGCTCCCCCTCTGTCTCCAGTTCTCAGTCTCTCTTGCTCTCACTTTCTTCCGTTCTCGCTATCCCTTTTTCACACTCTAATTTTCTCCTCCCTCGCCCCCCTCAGTTTGCTCTCCCTTTGTTGCGCCCTCACCCTCTCCCTCTATCAGTCTCTCTCATTCTCGCTTTCTCCCGTTCTCTCTCTCCCGCTCTCCCTTCCTCTCGCTATCACTTTGTCCCGTTCTCCCTCTGTCTCGCTCTCCCTCTCTCTCACTCTATAACTCTCTCCCGTTTTCCCTCTGTTCGGCCAATCAATCTGAAGATGGTCACCTTTTCGTCTAGGAAGCCTGATAGGATCTGGAGCATTGAGGATTTGTGAAAATCCAAGCTGGAACTGGATGAAAGGCTCTCTCATTGGGGGCATAATCCTGTCAATAATTCTGATGTTGAGTTTCTCGACAAAATTACTGAAAGAGTTGAAGGTTCTTCATGCGCCCTATATGAAGATGAATCTAGGATAGAGGTGGAGGCAAGCTGGACATAGGTGGTTCGCAAGAAAAGGCCTCGGAAAAATATGTTCAGAGTGAGAACAAGCCAGTTACTAGATCGCAGACTTGCCAAGGTACAATCACTTATAGATGTTCTCAATGAATGGTCTATTCTGGAATATAAAAGGGATTGCAAATGATCCCTCTATCACTCGTTTGAAAAAAACTTTGCAAACTGCAGAAGTTAGGTGTAATAGCAGTTTCTGAACCCATGATTGGGGATGATAGACTTTTCCAGATTTCCAAGAGACTAAACATGACCGGTTTCATGGTTAATATCAGTAGTAAAATTGTTCTATTTTGGAATAGATTTTTCTCTGTACAATTGATAGAGGACTGTGATCAAATCGTAATTGTGAAAATTACCACCTCTGCCAATGAGCTATATTTTCTTTCTGTGGTTTATGCTAAATGTGATCGGCTGGAAAGAATATCTCTTTGGGACAGAATTCGGAATTTAGCCTCTGGTATTTTCGAACCCTAGTTGTTAGTTGGAGATTTTAATGTGATTGGTTGAAGAGAAGAAAATGTGGGTGGAAGAAAATCCTGATGACTCTGCAATGGAGGATTTTGTTGATTTGATAAATGTTGCGGGCTTAGTAGATTTGGATTTCTCTGGAAGCAGGTTCAATTGGTGCAATAATAGAGAAGGTTTAGACTATGTCTGGGCTGGTCTGGATCAAGTTCTGGTTAATTCTAGTTGGGCTCAATAGCCTATCATTCATCTCAATCGCACTTGTTCAGATCATTGCCCTTTGGTTTTTTTTGTTGAGGAGGAAAGACAGACAGGTCCCAAGCCTTTCAGATTTCAGCAGATGTGGCACTCTCATCACTCTTTTCACACGGTTGTTAGGGATTACTGGATTGAGAAGGTTCATGCTAATCCTTTGGTGAGTTTATTTCTCAAATTACATAAATTAAGGAGTAAACTCAAGCAATGGAATTTGAAGGTTTTTGGGAATGTTCATCAGGCAGTGAATGAGGTTGAAGACAGTGTTCAATGTGTAGAAATGAATCACTTTTAGATGAACTAAATTGTTAGTTTCACGGAGCTAAGAGAGGAGAGGAAGAAACTTCATGAAGTTCACAAACTGGAGGAAATCTTCTAGAGGCAGAAATCTAGAATAAAATGGCTAAAAGAGGGTGATAGAAACTCAAAATTCTTTCATCTCTTTGTTAAGCTTAATCGAATGCAAAGCAAAATCTGCAAAATCAAAGATTCTACAGGAAACTGGATTTCTGATTCAGAGGAGATGAAACCGGGTGCAATAAACTATTTTTGCAGTGTTTTATCAGAGGAAGAGGTTGTTTGTGATGAAGATTTGATAGATGTCATCTCGTGTGTGGTAAATCAGGGAGACAATGAACTTCTTTTGGTCGTTCCTTCTGAGAAAGAAATTCAAGAGGTGGTTCATGCCATGTACAGAGACAACGCTCCAGGACTGGATGGTTTCATAGGACACTTTTTTGTTTCGTGTTGGGATATTGTTGGAGCAGATGTGGTAGGGGCTGTCCAATTTTTCTTTAATGGTGGCCTACTTCCAATAATTTACACTTCCTCCTTTTTTACTTTGATTCCGAAATGCAAGGTTCCTGAAAGTTTCACAGATTTTTGTCCCATTAGCTTAGGTCATTTTTGCTATAAAATCATTGCAAAAATCTTCACTAAAAGATTGGTTGGCGTTTTACCTAAGATAATTTCACAAGAGTAGGGTTCTTTCATTCTTGGGTGAAATATCATGGATAATGTAGCTCTGGTGCAGGAAATGGTAAATGATATTGAAAGGAAGGTAGTGAGGGGAAATGTAGTTCTTAAACTGAATATGGCAAAAGCTTATGATCTGCTGAACTGGGACTTTCTCTTCGTTGTCTTGAGAAGGTTCGGTTTCAGTGAAGCCTAGATTGAGCTGGTCAGAAAAATGGTTGTTAATTGTTGGTTCTCAGTCCTTTGGAATGGAGGAGTCACAGGTTATTTTCAATCCAGCAGAGGCTTGCGGCAAGGGGATCCACTGTCACCTTACTTATTTATCATTGCAGAGGAGGTACTCAGTAGAAATTTATCTAAGCTGGGTGAAAAGTATCCCATAGGTGTTTATGTGACCCACAAAGGTTGTCCGCCTATCACCCACAGTGTCTATGTTGATGACATCATTATCTTCACAAGAGGGTCCAAGCAAGTGTTAGAAAAAGTTATGACAATAATCCAGTGGTACGAGAATTGTTTGGGTCAATTGGTGAATGAGTCTAAGAGCTGCTTTTTCACTTTAGCAAAAGCTTCTCATAGCAGAATCCAAATTATCACATCAACCACTGGTTACTTTCATAAGCCTCTTCCCTTCACTTACCTTGGTATCCCAATTGGTAAGGGCCATGTGAAAGCAGAAGCCTTTGATGGGGTTGTGCAGAAAGTGGTAGCAAAAATTTCAGGCTAGAAAGGGAAAGTGATTTCGGCAGGAGGTAAGCTGGTCCTAATTAGACATGTTTTAAATAACATTCCTATGTACTTGAAGTCGGCAGTTGTAACTCCCAAGAAGGTTATCAAGCGCCTAGAACAGTTGATGAAAAGTTTCTTGTGGTTTAATTCAGACTCAGTTAATCATCACCATTGGATCGCTTGGAGGAAAATTGTGATACCTTTTTTCTAAAAGTGG